ATCTAATGCCTGAGAAAGGCTTGAGGATAGAGTGCTAAAAGAGCAAGAACCCAAGGTAATGCTGGGAAAGGAGCAGCCACTGTGTCCCTGTTACGACCCAATTCTCCTGGAACAAGTCACTCAGCTACTGGAACAAATGATTAAACATCCCATTTATAAGCACCAAGAGAATAATAATGGAGTAAAGGGAAAAAAAAAGCAATGTACTTTTGGCAAACACATATCATGCCATCCAGGCCTCATTTCCCTTTTTTTGTAGGATAGCTGGCATAACAGATAATGCAGAAGCAATATGTGTGATTATGTGATATATCTTGACTTCAGAAGACCTGACAGTCTTCAACAAGCTAAGAGAACATGGTGGATGTTAAATCTCCATCAGGATGCTTCAAAGAGCTGCAATCAACAGACCCCTCTCCACCAAGGACGGAGGGTTTAGTGGGCTGCTGACATAGTCTGCTTTTGTGTCCTGATCTCTTCAATACTTTAATTAACACCTTCATGATGGAACAGAAACGAGGCACCTGACTTTTGTCAATGACACTACACTGGGGGCAGTTGCAAGTGTTTTGGAGCCAGGATCGTAAGTAAACTGAAGTGGTCTCCATGGAGAGACCAACCAGATGGCATCCAACAGCAGCGAGCACAAAGCAGTATTCTCAGGGAGTGGGGGAAAACCAATTAATGTTCAAACACAAAAGTGAAGAATGAGCTGCAGACCAGTAAGAGAAGATCAGAAAGGCAGAAAGACAAATTAGTGAAAGCAGTGAGGCGCTCATATAAAAAAGGCAAATCTCATTTCATTCTGGGGTTAGGTAAGTGAAGTGTGATATGCAAAACACGGCTGGTACTTGTATCTGCATGACTGAATCCTGAACTGGAACTCTTGTTTTGGTTTTGGACAGTACATTTAAAGAAAACATGTAGACAAATCAAACAGTAGTGAAATATATATGCTGCAGGTGTTGAAAAAATACGACCTCCAGAAAGCAGTGAGCCCGTTAACTTGGACTAGAGATCTCTGAGACACAGAAATTGAGGGGTTCCAGGCAGATAAAATATAGTTTTGAGAAAGAGGAGAAATAACCACTGTGTGTCCTGCAAGGCCCAGAAATAATTGGCAGCAAAATCAATTTGGATCATATGTTAATAAAAGCTTTCCAAATGCAAGGAGAGTGAAATAATGGACATGCACCAGTTATGCAGGTACGTTTTCAAAAAATACATGTATGGTGTAGCCACTGTAGAGCTGATCTTGTCTCACTGCAAGGGGAAGTACCAGACCATCTCTTGCAGGTTCTTTCAAGTGTTTACTCTTTTGATCAGATGCCAGAAGAAATAACTGGAGTAATAAACAGAAAGATTTACAACTGGCCATTTTACCTAAATGAAGCAGCTCAAAATGCTTTGAGTGAGGTGGTGGTTCAGGGCAGTCCCTTGTTGCATTCACCCCAGTGGAGAGGGCACCTGGTAGCACCTGAGCTCGACAGAGACAGCCACCTCCAGTCTAGAGGATTGCAAGCAGTGCTGCCCACCTGGGTCAGAAAGATGGAAGACATGGCCAGGGTTGTACCAATGAGTCTTTTGGCAGCAAATACCTCCTTCTACTAGCAGAGAAGCTTTATGTTTACTAGCTTTATGCTTCAAAAGATAGAAAGACTTATGAGGACAACTTTTTCTACTTTTAGCTGTCTGTGAATTTTTGATTTTTTTTTAAATGTCATTTCATTATGCCCCTTTTAGACATCTGCAATATGCTCAGTTGAGAGGGATCTTCAATCCCAGTTGAGAGGGATCTTATCCATGGACATACATACTTAAGAGAGGAAAGGAGTAGATCAAGTAGGCTGTTTTTGCAGGGATCAGTGTTGGCTGCCAAAGTAAAACTGGTTCTTCTCATGTGAATACTAAAGGACTTGGGCATACATGGAAATGTTTGGGTTTCCTGATCATGGGGCATACACGTTAGAGAGGTGATGTCCCTTTTTCTGTGATATACTTCTGCAGCTCTGGCCCGCAGAGTTCACCAAGCAGAGCTCACCCCAGGGAAAGCTGATTTTCTCAAGGCTGGAAAGGACCCAGTCCTAGAATGCAACTCCACTAGAGTGCAGTGATCTAAACGCAGAAAGCATTCAGGATACAGTGAAGTCTGCCTACTTGAGCTGGCATTGTGGACATGGAGTGTTCTCCAGTTTTAAGGGCTCCAACAGCACTCTAGGATCTGCCTACCCACTTATTAGTCTCTCATATAGCTATCCCATTTGTGTCTAGGGGTTATAGAAGTTGTGTTCTCACAGGGGTTAGACAGATGAGGGAGTTGATCTGGGAGAGATTAAGGATTTATCTTAGGTAGTGGGACACAGAAATATCTGTGACAACACTGAGTGAGAGGAATAGGAAGCCTGGACATGGCCCTAAACCAACCATTGTCTCCAGGGCAGGAGCAGCTGTCATTGCAGTATCTTTCACTGGCAAATCCAGGCAGCAACCATGTGCACAAAGCTAGCAATGAGTCTCTGATCCTGGTTTGTTTTCGTTTCGCTGAACTTGTTCAAAGGAGATCACTGACCATCATTCCAGAAATTCTCCTCCCAGATTACCAGGCAGACCAGTTGACCACTCTATCATTTAATGTTTCAGGAGCTGTATTTTCTTTTATTTATTTATTTTAACATTTAGGATGCCCAGAGCTTCAAAGAGTCTATGTTTAGAAATGTATGAACACAAAAAAAAGGAAGTAAATAAACTACATAAAATAAATAAAACAAAATAGTTTAGCATGACTCAATAAACTCCTTTAATTTGTACCACTAGCAGGCTATTTTTCAGGCAGACAATCTGCAAATCTTAGAAAAATCAATATAAAAAATATAAAAATTTATCTTAGCAATCAATATAAGAAAATAATACTCAGAGACTATAGGGATTATTTTCTAACATACATTATTTTGTACTGAATTAGTTTTACTAGTGAAGATTATTTTAAAACATGTTTTAAATGAGACAAACTCTTCCTAATTGGAAAGGATTTTGTATTTATATTTTTCTTCACTTTTTTTTTCCAGATTAAATTTAGTTTAAAAAAATTAAAGCTATGAGTTTTACCTAATTACGGGAATATGCAGTAAGCACAATATTACAATGGGTCTTTTATTAAATCTGTGGCAGGTGTTAGAACAAAGATTACCCACAGATACCTTATTTACAGGCATTTAGAGTTTAGGAGTGTCAAAACCTAAATTTCCTCATTCTCAGAAAGGTGGCAGTAGTTCAGAGCCAGATACCCACGTATTTAAGTGAAAGCAAAGCTAGAGAACTCAATTTTGCTGCTTAGGCCCATATCTAATAGGCACAAATAAAATTAATAATACATATGCACGGCTCTAGAATTCATTTATCCCTATATTTTTCTTGACAGGTAAGTGGAAATTGTGTGCTGTGAGATTTCACCAGCAATAAACCACCTACAGAGGGCTGGCTCAGCTCTGCTGTAGTGAGCAGCAAGGCAGGGTACACCTCCAGGGCTGGGCAATGCATTTTGTGCAGCAAGCACTCAGCCAGGCCAGGAGAGCTGCTCTGTGTGTGGGTGTGGGCCACTCTTTGTGCTGCTGGGGGAGGATTCTGGGCAAGAAAACCAACCAGGAGCCTTCTGGCTCACTACACCTGTGTGTAAAGCATCACCTCTAACCACACATCCAGACTTCTTCACCTTGCAGATAAACACTTAGGATGCTACTTAGCCCCCCAGTTTGCCAAGTAGTGCTAGCAAGAGGAAAAGTCCCTTCCTGCATGCACTCATAATCAGAGCGATTCAAAAAATTTCTATGGGAAATGAAATCTGCAGCCTTATGGGTTACTAGACAAATCAGGAGAAACAATAAATTCCTGCCTGAAGGATAATATAGAAGTTGAACATATCTGTAATATGTATCAAACACATTCATACATATCTATCACCTAAGCTGCTCTATAAATATTTTAGATAAATCGGCAGATAGACAAAATAGCATGAAGATTTAAAGCAAAACTAAACAAAACTGGGTAAACTCACTTGTTTGGTGTTCTGGTCTGGACAGGATAGAACAAGAGTAAACTCACTAATGACCTTACCAAGAACTAGTGAACTCTTTAATTGTTTAATAGCTGTTATGCCATAAATGCAGGCAGACAGAGAAGACAATACTGGTTTGCCGAGTTTCCTGTTCTTTATAACACACACAGGAGAAGGGTAGCTAAAAAAGGAAAGGGCAACATAAGGTATGTGGCAGGTTCCCTCAGGTGCCAGGTTTCACACATGCCCAGTGATGGTGGACCCTGCAAACCAAGGACCCAGCACGGAAAAACTCACAGGAAAATTAATTCCTTAGCCTAGCAAAGAGTTGACTATGGAAGACCAAAAAACACAGCACAGTAGCTTGTTGACACAAGAAAAAAGAAAGGAAACCTGAAGAAGGAGGAGGCGAAGAAACCAGAGGGCTCTCTGGGCAGAGATAAGGCACAATGTTCTGAAAAGTGTCATTATAAACAAATGCTTTTCCATCAGTGCCAAACAACCAGAGCCAGGAGCCAGACTTGCATTATATTAGAATATGGCTTGGCGTTACTGGTGTCCCCTGCTCTGTCACCACTTTTAAAAGGACAAACTGACAGCAGAGTAAAACCATGCTACGCCACAGTGGAAGGGAAGAGTCCAGCTGGCTCCTGTATAAACATAAGGGACACACAGGCTACTGACTCTCAAGTTTCTCTTAGAAAAATACAGCTCCTTCAACTCACTATGTGGAGTTGTGTTTGCACTGTATATCCCCTCATAATAATGTCCTTCCATATCCCCTCTTTGTATCCATTTGGTTCATCCCAGCTTTCCCATCAGTACCTGTATGTCCATCAAACCCCAAAATCCCTGACTCATCCCCCTGTCTCCTCTCAGGTGAGGTGCCCATCACCTCAGCATCACTGTGTCATTTGCTCTTTGCTCTCTGATCAGGCATGTTGCTTACCTTGCACAATCAAGTAAACCTGGGAAGTCTTGGGATGATGCTGTGTCTGCACTGAACACGTGTAGGACCCCTCATCGTAGACATCCACTTTCTGGATCCGCAGGCTGTATTCCAGGGGGTTTCTCTTCTCCAGCTCTACTCGAGGGTCCAGGGACCACTTGTCCTCTCCCGCAAAAATGATGCCGGAACGATTTAACCAGGCCACCTTAGAGCTTCTGTCTTCTACATAACACCTGCAGAGGATGAGACAGGAAAAGGGGAGATTAACAACCCTCTCCATCATCTCCCTTTTGTTCCTTCTCTTTACTGCTTTGCTGAGAAATTTCCCACCACACTCCTGCCTTGCCAGTGAACCACAGAATCTTCTCATCATTATTGTCCCATGGACAAGTACTTAACAATTTAACTCTATTGAAGAGTTTCAGGAATCTTTGTTTCATATATCCATGGGATTTGGGGCAGACATGTCTCTCGTTCTCTTTTTCTTTTGCCTGTGGCCTCCCAAAAATTAATTTGGAACGCCACAAAAGATCTTGATTATCAAATCCCTTCCAACACTGCCAGTGAGAAAGGTTGGAAGTAGCTCTTCCCATTCTTCTCCTTCACCTTCAAAAAGTTGAGTATACAATAGATAAACTCCCAGATCCCTTCCAGCCTGGATGGCAATAGTTCAGGGCTCCAGCTTTGTCAGCTCAGGGCACAGGTCCTCCATCCCTCAATTTCAGCAGCACAAGGGGAGGAAACTAGTGTATCTCCTATCTACATCCTTCTGACAAAAAAAAAAAAATAAAATTGTGGAGTTATTTCATTGTTCAAACATCACCCTCCTAACACATACACACACACACACACACACACACACACACTTGCTGATGCACATCTACTTGTTTTGCAGGCAAGTGCAGATTTCAGGCTGAAAACGAGAGGCTGTGGAAGTGTCACTGTCATCCCTGTGACACACACAGCATGTCCTATGAACATCTCAGGTGGACAGGAGAGGAGGAATGACAGCTAAGGGTGGCAAGCAGAGGAGCAGCAGGATGACCAGAAACTGCCAGGGTCCTGACTGCCAGCCTTCCCAAGACAGAGGACAAACTTACCACGTTGCAACTGTAACTTGACAAGTATTTTGATTGTTGATGGAGAGCAGAGTAGGTTCTGTGAAAACAAATGCATTTTTGGCAAAGGTATCTGCTCTGTACCACTTCCTACCACCAGAAGGAGATTTGCACAGAAAAGATGAGGAGCTGCCACTGAGGAGACACATCCTGCTCTCTCTCAGCTGTATCTCATTCAGGAGGACTGGGGCTGAAGAAGACAGGCAGGCATAACTCGTCTTTCACCCTGGCAGATGCACCCCCAGGGCGGGGCTCAGACAGGCTGAGAGCAGGTTTGCCCTGCTGTCTCTCACATCACATTAGCTCTGCAGATAAACATAGAAGCTCAGTCTCCAGAGCTGTTGCTCCTTGACATCTTAGAGCTCTGCCCACAGTGTTCCAGAAACCAAATAACTCAGCACCTCTTGCCACTGCTATTACAGAATCACAGAATAGGTAAAATTGGAAGGGACCACAGTGAGGTTGTATGGTCAAACCAACCTGCTTGAGCAGGGTCTTCCTAGATCACATTGCACAGGATTGTGTGTTATTCACCACTATTCATGCATATGTTGTATTTGAAAGAAAAAAGAGAGAGGATAAAGATTATTGCTTCAAGATAAGACAAGTATTTGACAGTAGGCTTTCATACAGCCTTTCACCATGGGTCAGGCATTTTCCAAGTTCCTCTATTTGAATGCATTTCATTCAAGGCTGCTGCAGCTGCTTTCACTTGTGATGTGACCCCACCATTATGGTGGCACCTCACACCCACTCCCTTTTGACAAGCACATGGGTGTTGTCCAAATTGTTCTGGGGTTACTTGTGGGCAGGAGGAAAGCCAAGCTGCGTGGGCATGCATGGGAGCCATGCCATACTGCTGGCCAAGCTGTAAGCAGCTCTGTCTGATCTGACAAACATTTGCTTTAGAGAGCAGTCCAACAGATTCTGTCCTTTACTGATGATGTCCAGCCAAGGAAGGGTGAGAATTTGTCCCTCAGGCCAGAGCCCACCCTCCTGGCCAGGCAGGCACTTGTCCCAAAGGTGAACTCTCAGGTGTGATCTGAGTTGTTTTCAAAAAGCTATTCTTTGTCAAAAGAAAAGGATGCAGGGGAACCCATGAGCAGTCACTTACAGGTAGAAACCAGCAGCACTACGATGGGGCATTGCTCCAGTTCCATTGACCATCCCAGGCAGTAATCACCAGTCATGGAAGGTGAACGCGAAGACCCAGGGAGCTCGAAGGCTGGGAGCAGTGGCCCTGTAGGAACACCCAGACTGCCTTTGGAGCTGGCTGCCTTAGGGTCAAGAGTCCTCTTGCTAATGCAAGAGTTGTAACAGCACCAAGAATCAGGAGTCAGGTATTTTGGTAGTGAAAAGCTAAACAGATTAACAGCGGAAGCTGAAGTCAGTGGGAGCTGAAGTTTCTCAGTCACTTCTGAAAATCCCCCTGCAGTGCTGCTGAACTCCAGCAGACCCATGGCACCACACCATCCCCATCAGTCTGCTTTCCCATCCCCACTAGACTACAGTGAGCACTCAGCAGCTCTGCCACTACAATGAGCACTCAGCAGCTGTGCCCTCCCCTAATCATTATAACTCTCTGGGGTAGCCAATATGCCCTTTTGTGGTGTCTTGTCATTAACAGTTCAGTGGTGTGGTCTGAACAAAGCCTTATCCTTTGTCGGTAGCCTTCAACCAGAGACCCTCCCTCCTCTCTCTGGAGGGATGTCTTACATGCATCCAGGTCAGCCCTAGGACAGTGGTCAATAGCTACAGGCAGGCAACCCTGCAAATGCCCCTGAAAAAAGTTAGCAGGTGCTACCAAAATAAGGAAAGGAAAAAGGAGAATGAAAAGAGGAAAATGGGGGGAGAAAGTGAAATGGATTTGAGCCCTCTGTTCACCATACCTGTTCCTCTCAAGCTGTCAGGTAAAATCAATGTACAAATATGGAAATTCCAAGTCCTGGCATGCTCTGAACATGTATCCATGTAGATGACACATCTCAGTATGTCTGTCTGCACACACACACCCCCTTTTATTCTGCCAGAGATGCCACCCAGCTGAATGGATCACGCTTTAATAAGGATTTATGGTGATGATTTTCACAGTGTAATAAGTGCTAATTCAATACTAATAGAATATTAAATGGCATGTTAACTGACATTTTAACTGCAAAGCAATAGGAGCATGGCATCAGCCAGATATCAATGGACTCTTATCGCTCACTAATAATCAATAATCAAGTTCAGAGAGACAGTCAAATGCTTTTCATTAGACTTATTGGAAGCATTACCATCAGCCTCACTGAAAGCTAATACATTATTTGTGACCCATGCATTATTATTTTCCTTATGGTTGCAGGTTTGATTTCTTGACATCTCTGATGTGGCAAATGAGAAGATGGGTGAATAGTGATGGGCATGCCTTGCATGATCACTGTAAAAACCTGTGAACTGTTGATCTTGCACCACTTCAAACCACAGACACAGAAGAACGAAAGATCTTGCTGTCATGCCCCATTAGTCCTCCTTGTAAACAAACACAGCCAAGTTTGGCACCTGAAGTTTTTGAGCAACAGTTGGATGTGGAGAAAGAAACCCAGGTCATCCTTGCATTCCTTCCCCAGTCTCATTTTCCCCCCATGTAAATGCAGACAATGGGGCTGAGCTGTGCTATAGGAGGGAGGGGATGGGGTGATGCTTTTCTGCAGGAGAATGATTTTGAACCTTCAGCAGGAACCATTGCCTTGGATGGGCTAGAGGGCTTCCCACCATCATTCCTGGTCCTTGGATTTTGTGACGGGCTGGGACATCTGGCAGCATGCAGGCAGGGGAAGCAAGGAGCAAGTCATGCTGCTTGTCCTCCCTCCTCCATCACCTGCCAGTCTAACATGCAGCACTGGGCCAAAGCAGCGTTCCTAAAAACCCACCTTTGTAAGCTACAAGGAACACTCCATCTGGAGAGAGAAATATTTTTCCCCCCACCTTCTTCAAAGTATTGGGCTTGTTCCTATTGATGGGAGAGAGAGCGAGTGATGAAAAGGAGAGTGAGGCTTAGGCATCCCCATCTCCTATCCCTGCGAGGCACGCCTGGAGATTTCACCGCTCGTCCTGCCTCACTCCGGCCTCGGTGCTTTGATTCCCAGTGACTACCGCTGCTCCTCCAGTGGAGCCTTTGATTTCCCAGCGTGTTGCTGTAACACTCATCGCAGTTTATGTTGTGCCTGTCACTCCAGCAGCTCTGGGCCCTAAGCTTTCCACCCTCTCTGCCCTGGAAAAGCCCAGCACAGCTTCCCCGGGCTGCTGGCAGCCGCTGCCAGGCTGAGCCTGCGGGCTGAGCAGGCGGATGTGGCAGAGCTGGGATCTCAGCAATGGGCTTCCCATTCTGTCCCAGAGAAAGCAGCACAGCACAGCACCTACAGCCTAGGCTGGGAGATGGAGTGGGGGTATTTCATCCCTTTGGGAAGGGATGGATGATATTTAGAGCCTAGAGTGATGAAAGAAGCCCTTTGGGGCCTGGTGAAGCTGCTGTTTAAATGATTGCTTTAACATGGAGATTTTACAGCATTATCAATGATATATTGGGTTGCATTGAAGCTGGGATAATTATTTTGGGTTTTTAAATTGTTGTTGTAATTCTAATTGGTTTTTTTTTTTTAATTTTTTTTGTAGCAGACCTGAACCCGCAATTCTCTGCCAGAACCTCACAAGTGAGAAGAAGCAAGCAGCTAGGACTAATGAAATATGCTGTGCTGCTTTGCCAGCAAGCCACAGCTCTTACCTCATTTTGGGGAAAAATAAATAAATAGTGAGTTTATGGACTGCATTTTCTGCCTTCTTTCTCCAAAGCATGTTGTGGTGACAGCTCTGTGCCACAATTCCCACACTCTTCTTTAATCATCTTTTCTCCGTTAACCCTTTCATCATCTCTTCTGCAAGACAATCTCTGTGCATCAGGCCAAAACTCAGCAGCCTGCTGCACACACAATTAAGCACCCAAACCCCACCCCACTGCTCTCACTGAGGGACGTGCTGCCCTTTTGCCAGACGGTGCCACAACCCGCCCTGCATCAGATCTCCTGCCTTCGCCTCAGCTCTGTGATGAGCCCACTCTAATCTTCTCACTTCACACA